AAGATTACATAGCAGTTTTCCTTCTTTGTTAGTCTGAAAGCTAGGAACCAAAACTGAGGTCTGAACCCTAGAGTATCTAGAGTGTTTAAGGTGAACAACAACTCTGTTGCTGAGCTTTTGTTAATGTGGGAGTTCAAATACCTTGAAATCTGCAACTGTGTTTTGCTCATCTTTTCTGAGATCTTTCATTTTTTTCTGGTTGAAATAGTAAGTTTTCCCAAACTGTTGTCATCATTTAAAAGCCCCAGGGCTGTGAGCAGCATAGTCCTAAATTTAATTTGATTTTGTTTTGGTTCCTGAAGCTAGTGATATCAACAAACACAAGACCGCATGATAGAGTTGTGCCTAACCTTCTGTTGTCTGCTCCATTTCCATGGTTAAAGACAGTGCTGAAGGGGAAGATTTCCAAATTAACATGAGGTGACTGAACCTGCATGTTCAAATTAAAGCAGGGAATTAAGACCCATGGGTGGCTTGCATTTTTGTGAACATTGCCATCTTTTTTTGTAGATGATTTTTTTAGCTGACTAAAGCCTCCTGAAGCTGATGTAAATGTGACCATTCCTTTAGTGGGATCTGCGTTTTCATATCAGCACACAAGCAATACCTGTAAATATTGTGCACAAAATGCTTGAGCAGTTCCTTGGTAAAAAACTGAAATTCTTTATGTTTCCGACAGTGTTTGAAGAGTACCAGAAACTGGCTGGTAAGAGCATAGAAGATTCTATCAAGAGTGAAACTTGTGGTTCACTTGAGGATGCAATGCTGGCTATTGGTAAGAGTTTCTATGTTTCCCTTACTTTCGTCTGAGTCTGCTGCCTTTTCTCCTGCAGCAGTTAACTGTTGTGGGATGGATATCCTTTATAAAGGTATCTAGTAAAAATTAAAGGGTACTTCTTAAGTAAGATAAACTCAGGTCCCAGGGGTACATTCAATTATTGGAAATGATGTTGAATCTCTTGTTACCTGCTGCTCTGAACTGGAGGTACCATTGATTCTTACTGAGCTTTTTTGTATGCCTAGTGAAATGCACCAGGAGTGTCCATTGCTACTTTGCAGAGAGGCTGTACCATGCTTTAAAGGTAAGACTCTTCATTGGAACATACTTGTTTTCATACTGGACTTAACTTGTAACTTGGCTTCCACCAAGTCAAGTTAGAAGAGCCAAGGTTTTGGTGAAATCCAGCGAGTTTAATGCTATTGTCGCAAGTAATAGCAGGATCTCTTCAAACACCTTGAGTAGAAAAATACCTTTTAATCTTGAGATACCAAGGGAGTCTAGCTTTTCTGATTTAGGAGTCTGCAAGGAGCCTAGTCCCACTTTCTGGAATGTAGACAAAACTTCTGGAAGAGGCTTTTCTAGGAGGTTGATCATGCTGGAATTTTTGCCCATAATGTTAATTTAATAGACTGGACCACAATATTCTCATTTTTAGGAAGCAATTCTCTCAATGGCAGTATAAAATGAAAGAGTTCCAAATGGGCACATGTAAGGATTCTGCGGACTGTGTTCCTGTAGCTCTTAACTGATGTGTAAAAGATGTCAGCTCTCCCAACTTTGTGGAAAGCTGAGATGACTGGTATTTATTATCAACATGATCTTATTTTTCTTGTGAGTGATTAAACAATACTGATTGAAGCAAAGTGTTGCATGGGTGATGCTGCAGAAGGAGAATATTCAGTGCTGACATCCAACTCTGTAACATGTTTGCTTTTGCATTTGACATGTGCAAAGACTTATAGCACACCTCCATGGTGGGCTTGTGGTATTGACGGTGACCCCTGGGGTTGGCCCTCCAGAAAGAGAAGCAGATGTTCCGCAGAATATGTGCCCACCAATGTTTGAAACATGATTTCTCCTGTCTTGGACCAGTTTGCAACAGCTTATCCCTTGAATATCTATTGACATCACAGACTGATATATCTGTTATTCCAGGGGGCTGGCACCGATGATGGGACTCTTATAAGGGTGATCGTTTCCCGAAGTGAAGTTGATTTAAATCTCATAAAGGCTGAATTCAAGCATATTGCAGGAAAGTCTCTCTCCAGTATGATTATGGTAAGCAGCATCTTGATGAGATGGTTCTTAACCATCATACACATTCCTAACCTGCCCAGCACTGTGGGATACTTCCATGGTTGTTTTTAGTAAAAATACAATTTCTGCTAAGACCATAGCTCTCCTTCATTAGGCTTATTAACAGTCTTCTCCTTGAGAGACATATATACCTGAAAGGTATATATGTATATTGTATGCTCTGGAAGTGACTTGGGCAAAGCCGAACCTGAGGAGAGATGCTCCAGGTTTTTCATGGACCAGACTCTGTATCCACACACTTCATGATTTCCTAGATGAATCTAGATTCATTTAGTCCTCTCTGTTACACCTTTCCCACACCACTGTGCCATTTTGTCCTCTCTCCATACTGTCCTTAACTACCTCAATCCAGTTCCATAAAAGTCAAAACAGTGCTGGTTTTCTTTCTTTCTTTGTTTTGTTTTCTTTTTGTTGTTGGTTGGTTGTTTTGACTTTTCCTTTAGCTGACTTATCCTAGATGAAAGCCTGGTCTATGCTGTAGTAAGATAGGTTTAGAAACTGAACCTTGTCAAAGCTTATTGTAGCTTTTGAGGTTAGGGTCTCAGCTCTGAGTGAATGTCCCTCCCTTATTAGGGCTGAAATGCTGGGGTTTACCATTTGTCCTAAGGACTCTGGGACATTCCTCTCAGTGCAAATGGCACAGAAGCCCTATCCTTAGCAGTCCTCATGGGAAGTCTGGTTCTGTAATGAAGGCCCTTTCTTCTAATTGGCACTGTCAGTGTCTGTCATGTTGATTAATGATCAGTCTTCAAGGGTCTGCATGGAATATTCATTCCTTCTGAGAAGTGGAACTGGCTTTACACCTGGCATCACAAAACATTTAAAGGGAGCAAATTTTTTATCTAGTGATATTCTCTGTAGTGCTTCTTTAGTCCAAAATGACCACATTCATGGCTTTTTATGAGATGTCATGTGTCAGGGCTAATGATACTGCCCTTTCCCTTCCTGTAGGGGAGAGATGCTACACAATACCCGGGGACATGAAATCTGAACACAACAGGCTTGGTTGACCTTGTTCATGCTGACTTTGTCTGTGCTGCTCTGTGGGATGTAGCCCTGATAAATTGCTCACCTGGATTCCAAAGAAATGAACTGGACTTGATAAATGTTATTTCAGGTGGCAGCTACAAGCCTCATTTCTCCATTCATTTTTGATGGTGTGTCAGTTGGCAGAAACACTGCTGAAGTCTGGCTTGCTCTTTCCAAAGTCCTTTTCCTGTGTGGGCATAGACTGACAAAGTCAGCACTCGGAGCATGCAGAGGAACTTCCACACTCACCTTTTTTTCTTTTTTTCTCCTGTCAGGATGACACCAGTGGCGATTACAAGACAGCCTTGCTGAATCTCTGTGGCACTGACTGACAAAATCTAGGAGGAAGATGTTGAAATGGATACAGAAAGAAAATTAACAGCGAACAAGGATCTGAAAATGTACATGTAGAAAATCTTTCCATTCATCCAGCTGGGGAGAGAAAGAAGATCAAATAAATGGTCAAGATTTCCAAAACTCTCTGAAGGGCATGGGTGCTCATTATATACAAAATGCTATTCATTCCCCAACAGTTTCTCAAACCCAAGTGGGAATGTTTCTTTTTCGCTTCCATTTTGTTCTATGCAGTTTCCTTTCTCTTTTAGCACACTGTAAAGGGTGGTACTTGGATGTAAAATTAAAGGCTTTTTTAAACCCTCTGTAGGTATTTCACAGGTCTGAACTACCCTACAAAGCTTGAGCTGTCCTGTAGCCTTGCTAGCTTCACTATGACAAGCTGGTACTGCGGTGGTCATGCTAGCAGAGTGGGTCTGGAAGGAACACAGATATTAATGAGGCTTTAGGGCATGGGTTGGAATGGAGAAGTCAGACCTCAGGGGCTGGTTTAGCAGCCCTATTATGCATAACGTCAGTGGGGGCTCCCCAGGAGCTGGGAATGGCAGAGCCAAACTGACCATAAGCACGTGACTGATTTAATCTTTCCTTGTGTGAACGTCTGTAGGGCAAGACTGACAAGTTCAGGGTGTGACATCAATGTCAGGCCACAGGGAAATCAGAACTGGGGCAGATAATTTGTTTTTGGTGAATATAGGGTATCCTGCTCCTGGGACCAGACCTGTTTCTGCTCCTGATTTCACAGTAACTTCACAGAAGTCAGTGGACTCGCTTGGAGGTTCCTTTCCCCCACCCCCCACC